GCTCCTAAAAAGAATATTTAGGACTGTGGTATTGCTTACTCATTTGGTAGGGATCCTACAGTAGCTTTATGGGTCAGGAAATATGAGAGTTGTTGCCACAGTGGATCTCTGTAGCTTTGGGATGCTTGCAAAATGCACTCCACTTCCAAATGGAAAGAAAAAAAGTTTTGGAAAACCAAAAAAACCCAAAGAGAAAATACATAAACCCCCATGCACATAAACATTTCTTTTCTTGAATTTAGGGTTTTTTTTAATTATTATTATTTTGGAGAGTGTGCTGGTCAGCCCAGTTGTTGGGCAGCATCCTTTAGAAGCAACATTTCATTATTGTCTTACTGGTTATTGTATTTATGTAATTTTTCAGTATTTTGTGCATTCACTCCTTCCAATTTGTTTTTAAACATTTTATTTAATTTTTGCAAGCTTTAGTTTTAAAGGTAAGCATCTGGTATTTGGGAGTCAAGAGTTAAAGTTTAGAAATAATGCATGCATTTTTCTTCATGTATCTGGATGATGTAACCATAATATCAAATGATATCTACAATTAATATAGTTTCTGAAAGTATCCTAACATTAGGATGATTAGAACAGTTCACTTAAGATAGTAGGATTTTCTGTATCAAGAATATACAGAAGAAAGATAAATTTAGTCCAAAGGAGTTTTGAATTGAATACTGTATCTAAATACATTTTTCTTCATATACTTATTTCTCCCTTCACTCCTATTACAGTATTAGGAGAAAGAAATAGGACTAGAAGTCTGTATTAAGCTCAAAAAAGCCAAGACCTGAAGGGCTAAAGCTCTAGTGTAATAGTTCTCAACCTTTTTAGACTCGGGGTACCCTTTGCAAAATGCCAACTCTTTTCCTTTATTTTTCTCTAATCAGAAAATAATAGAGCAATCCTGCTGGTGCAGAAAATTCAAAGACCACAACAGGACAGAATTTTTGATAGTATGTATTCCTATTTGAAATCTCTGGGTTTTTCTTGTGAATCACGTTTGCACAATTTACAGTGCTAACATTGCATGGGACCCCATGCCATCTTTGAAAGGATCTGAAGGTACTCCAGGATGTCATGGACCCTGGTTAAGCTCCCTAGAGCTATAAAATATTCTTGGGTCAAATCCTGAAGTTAGATTCACAAGGATCCATCTAAGAGAACAGACTGCAATTGCTCCAAGTATATTGTACATGCACCCAAGCTATCTTTAAACTACATAACTTGTGTGCTGCTAATAGTGCAGCTGCAACAATTCAGAACCCTAGCAAGCATAATATTTGCTTAACAAGCCAGATAAATATTTGGATGGGAAGCCCCACTGAAGTCTGTGCTGGAAGTCTGTGCTGGCACAGCTAGACTGCTACTAGTACTTGTAATAACTAGGTTAAACCTAGCTAGTGTTCAATAGTGGCTGTAATGTAGATGTGCCTTATGGCCAGTATTTTAAGACTATGTCGGGTGCCAACACGAGATGCATTTTTGGTACTCAAAAGTCCTTAGGCTCGTAGCTTCCAATGATTTCCTTGGATCATAGACACCTTTGCAAGAGTAGAAATCTAGCTCTTATTGTATATGCAAAATTAACTGATGGATCCACGTTCATAAACAAAGCCTACATTAGATTATTTCCTTCAGTTCAAAATACATTAGCTTTTGTGGGTCTAATAAGATTAGTGCTAATATAGTGGCTGTATTTTTCTGTCCAGGGTCTAATAAGATTAGTGCTAATATAGTGGCTGGATTTTTCTGTCCAGATTACAAAGAAAACAGTTGAATAGGTTTTTTCTTTAGAAGCTACTATAATTAATTCATTTAGTTTTACGTTATCATCCTAATCCATAAAAATCTAGTTTTGCTTCACTGCTTCTTTGATATCTGCTTTTGTCTCAGTTCAGGCTATAAAACAGGCTTAAGAACTTGCAAATTCAATTTGTTTGTAATCAGTGCTGGAAACTTTTGTGTCTGAGTGGCAGTTAGTTGTTTAAAAAGCACTTTAATTGGAATATTAAAGATTAATCAATGTTTTTTTAGGTCTTTATTACAAAAAATGAATAAACAAAATTTAACTATAACTTCTAATCGAATATTACTCAAATATAGGCTAAGTGCAAAAATCCAGTTCTGTCAGTGGAGTTTTATAACTTTAAAATAATCAGTTTGAGAGGCAAGGATTTTTATGATGGCATTTATTGGACCAACTGTATAGTTAGGAGAGCTGTGAAAAAGCTTTCTGGGCATAAAGTGCTCTTTTTCAGGTCTGTGAGAGACTCTTTTCAAAAATCTCTGTCTGGGGCTTTTATTTATTTGTTAACATAATACATCCCATTTCAAAGTGCATTGGTGTAATAATATTTTGTATATTGTAAGCTTAACTGAAAGTAGGAAGTGCTTGTTACTCCTCTGCTTCCCACATACTATGAACTTGAAGGTCAGAAACTGATAACTGTTTGCGCCCCTCAGGATTTTTCTTCCCTGTTACTGTAGTATTTGACTGCTTTAACAGTTGGGGCCAAAGGATTAAAACTGAGTTGCAAAGTTGTTACTTCTAATATTTTTGCCTGGCATCATATACAGATAACTACTCAAGATCAGACTTCAGTTCTGCAGTTTTGAAGCAGAATTGCTAGTTGAAATTCTGGGCAGTTCTGTGTGAGAGCTAGTGGTACAATCTGTACTCTTGTCATTTTGTAGATAGGATAGATCTATTTCTGAAAGCTCTTAAAAGGCTGCTTGTCACAAAGTGCTTCAGCCTTCCACTATCTATTTTCCAATGTGTCACTAGTGCTACTATATTTGTTTGAAGGTAATAAGTCAACATCAACTTTAATCATAGGAAGACTTCAAAAAGGATTAAAGACTGAGTTAAAAGAAAGTCAAGCCTAAATTTAGATTCTTAAGTCCATATTTAGGCACATAAATTGCCCAGATTTTTCAAAAGCGGGGAGTGTCTTGCAGTTGTTGCTGAGCTCCTGAAGGCTTTACAGAAGTTTGTCAGTCACCTTTTGGAGGCCCTTCTTTTCATAATGAGAACAAGGCTTTAATACAAGTTCCTTGGCTTTCAGTTTGACTGAGGGGAATGCTAGTATAGGTTTGGTTGTAGTATAAATGGTAGATGTGATGGTCAGCCTCTATGTAGTTGGCTTACAACTACATTGTAAAGGCATTTTCCTTCGAACATACAATCCCATACTTTGTGTCCATGGGAAGATCTAAGATTTCCTAAAAGGGGTGCAGCACACTGCCCCTCAAACCTTGTGGGGGGGGGGGCAGGGAAATATTCAGGTGAGGTATGGCTGGAGCCTCTGAGACAGTAGTGCATGCTGGGGGGCAAGACAAATAGGGAGCAGGCTCATGAAATGGGGGCCTCTGCCTGCTGCCACCACTGCTGCTATCCCTACCTGACCCATGCATGGGAAGGTGCTTCTGCTTTTTCTACTCTGGTGCTGTGAGGAGTGACTATGCAGGGTGCCATATTTGGCCAGCGACAGCAGTGGTGGCATGCAGGTTCCTCCATCCAGAACATGCTCCCTGCCCTCCTCCAAGTGGCTCCCCTCCTCCAAGTGTCCCCTGCCATCCTAGAGCGAGTGCTGGAAGGAAGGACATGTACACCACTGCCACTGTCCCTGGTTGCACCTGGCATCTCTTGCAGCTGCTCCCTGCTGCCCATGGCTGGAGTTGGACAGAGCAGTTCTGGGGCTCCCCAAAAGCCTGCATCACCCAGGGATAGCAGCAGCAGGGGGCAGGTTTCTCCTTCCAGTGTCTGCTTCTGGTCAGTGGGGATCACACTGGGGGAGCATCAGGGACCAGTTGTAGGAAGGGGTAACCCGCTTACTAGTGCTATTGCCCTCTATCATGCCTGGCACCCTGCATAGTTGCTCCCTTCAGCCTGGGGATGGAGTGGGACAGGAATGGCTCTGGAGCTCCCCTTGTGCCCAGGTCAGCTGGGGGCATTGATGGCAGCAGAGGGGGAGTGCAGCTGCACTGCTGCATCCTCCTGGAACAGTCCTTGTTTGTGTCTACATATGACCTAACTCTCTATCTTTGTACACATTCCTTCAGGTAAACAGAAGGCCTGCTGTCACCAAATTGCAGGATAAATAGTATCTAGAGAGGTTTTCCTTCCTCCCTCTTTTTCAAAAAGAGGATTTTAGCTGCACTTTATAATTGCAAACTATTTTTTTAGGTACTTAAACAGACATACAGGGTTCCCTCACTCTATGCGGTACGTGCATTCCGAGAAAACTGAATAAACTGGATTTGCATAAAGAGAACCCAGTTCATAAGGTAAAAGTAGGGATATGTTCCCATGGTGGTGAGGTAGGGAGGGAGTGAGGCTGGGTCTAGGGAGAGGGTGGGGCGCAGTGCAGCCCAAGGGTTGCAGGCAGGGAGTTGGCCACTCCCGGGGCTGCAGCAGGGAGCAAAGTGGGGGGAACTGTCAGTGGGGCAACGGCTCTTACTGTTACACACACCCCAGGAGGGCTGGGGGGCTGAGCTGGGCTCTTTTAGGGGGTAGTGTGCCCCCGGATCTGTACACAGGACGAGAGCCGGCTGCAGCCGCA